AGGTTTAGATAGCAAAGCATTTATCTTCTAAGCCACCTCACCACTTCCTACTTTATTTTTATATTTCTCACTAAAGTCTAAATATACTGTTAAGTGGAGAATCCTAACAAAATGTCTGGATTGGGATATGTATATATACACCTAAGTGCTATGAATCATAAAAACCTATATCAAAATTAATATTAACATTCCTATAACATAATTTAAGGGAAATGTCACTCAAGCTGTATGTACGTATATGAATTTTAACAGTATAGAAATGCAAGTTTATTCCATTATGCAGATATGCAAAACACTAAATGAGTAGGGCTTGATGCTCTGAATTTTCCTTTATGAGTCTACTGCAGTTTAGAAGTTACAACTGTGTTTTATTTATTTTTATAATTTAAAATACTGACATATAACAAATACATGAATATGGATAATAAAATGTCTAGAAATTACAAAAATCAATAAGTTCCATGGGGTTGAGAAAAACTTACATTAAATATGTGGCCTGGGAGGCAGTTTTTCAGTTGTTTAGAATGTGGCTTTAAGACTCCAAACCTGAGTGTGAGTTGTGGTTTCCTTATCACAGGGGTGATTTTTCAGGGAGCTATAGATATCTCAAAGCAGATAATACCAATCCAGGCGGGTAACAATAGCAATGAGTTTCCAGGAGGTTGACTGGAGGTCCAGCAGGGTGATTCCTGGGCATGTTACATGGTGTTAAGACTGTTTCAGTAAAATACAGCCTGTGTTATTATCATTACTGAGAATCAGAAAGAAGAAAACTTTAACAAAAAGAATTCTACCTAAAACATTAACTCCTTAAATAGCATTCAGTCTTCCTAGCTAAATTTGAGAAGAGCTGAGATAAGAGGTCATGATGTACCACTCTCTGTGAATTCTCAATTCTTACCAGCAACAGATTGGGGAAAACATGTTGAAAAAGTCAGATTTTAGGCTGTATGTAAATTTTTGAAAACGTGATGGTGATAAAAGCTTCCTTCTTCCTAAGATAACATGCACAAAAACATTTTGCGACTCAGGATAGCAATAGGCGTGTCTGTAAGCAGAGCAGTTCTTTGTGACACATTGTCCTTGCTCTCCAAAGTAGGCCTCATCTCACTTCTAATGTGTGAAAGGGGAGATTATTCAACACCGTGGTAGATACAGTTTTGTTCTCCAGAACACTGAGATATCATTAATCTTCTGGCATGCCTGCACAGACGGGTTATATGAATGCTAGTCTTTTGCAGGGCTATAAATAAAGTTTAGAGAGAGAAAGAGACAGAAAGAAAAGATGTTTTCCTGGAGCTTCTATTGCCACAGTACGGTCCACATTAAGGGTGCAATAACTTAGCAGTAATAACATGTTTAGAAATCCTCTTTATGGGTTTTCAACATCTGTCTAGAAAAACCCTGCCTAAAAATAGAACCTGATCTTAAGCACAGTTTTCTCAAACTGTGTCATTCTGAGCATGTCCTCGCTGGATGGCCACACATGACTGTTCAGTTGCTCTCTAGGACAGCCATGCTTTATCATCTAGCTTACATGCTAAAAGTTACCACCAGAAACATTTGTATACCGAGACATGTGTGATGTGTGTACATATTTGCGTGGACAGTGGATGTGCCTTTGTGCAGGAAATCATTTAGGATAAGTGGGGAAGCTTCTGACTAGAATATCACAATGGATTTCTCATTTTGTTATTATCAGGAATTTCTATTTGGTAGTTGAATTGACTTGTTTCATAATTATTCATGTTTGAAAATACTCTTATAAATAATGCCTTCAGGCAAAATGCTGGTAGAACATGCTTATTGAATTTGCCACACACACTATAGACTTAATTCTCTCATTTGGTTGGAACAGCAATCAACGTTCACTTTAGTTACATCAAAGTCTTTTGTCCCCATGGTACTGCAGCAGGCCAAATCCTGCCAACCTTGTGGAAAGATGCAGCACCTTCAAATCAGTGTGAGTGTTGTCTTGAATTATTTTGATTCAAAGAAATAGAAATAAAAATAAAGATAAATGAAAATTTAAAATTTCAACTAGCATAGTCTCTAATTCTATATTGCTATAGAACCTTGGCAACTTCTTGTGCTAGAATATTTGGAATACAGAAGAATTTATATCCTTAGATTGAAAGACACTGCAATTAGAAACACTCGATTTTGTGTTTTGAGGGGCAGGTATTGCTAAATAAGAAGCACATTTCCAACAACTTTTCAGGTTGAAAACACCTTTAATTTGGGACAATTTGCCAACAAATCACTTCACATACTTAATCATACTCCTAATTTTAAAGTTTTTGTTAGGGTCTTGTGATGTTATTTCCTCACTGGTCTTTGAGTGCTTCCAGTCTCACACAGTCCTTATGTGGGAACTCATTACATTTACTAACAGATTAGGATAGAATATCCAGTTTGAATGCCTCATCTAAAAAACATACAAGAGGAATTTTCAGGTCATTTTCCATGAACTATGAAGCATAGACATACAGAGAACAACACTTGACCTCCATTAGGCACAAGACAGTAATTAGATACTTAAAAAAAAAAAAAAAACTCACTCCAGTCGGGCATTGGTGGTGTACATTTTTAATCACAGCACTCAGGAGGCAGAGGCAGGCAGATCTCTGTGAGTTCGAGGCCAGCCTGTTCTACAGATCGAGAATGCCGGGATAGGCTCCAAAGCTACACAGAGAAACCCTGTCTTGAAAAACCAAAACAACAACAACAACAACAACAACAACAACAACAACAAAACCAAACAAAAAATTCATTCTGAGTATCAGTTTAGAAAGCACAAAGTAACCTTAGTTTATGGATTGAAACACAAAGCAAAGGAAACTAAAACAGGATAGGGGTCAACATTTATAATACTTTTTACGTAGTTTAGGTACTAAATATTTTAGATACTAAGAATATTTTCATGAAATACATAATACTTTTCCTGTCACCAAGGAAGGCAATATACTGTTGAGGCAAGGTAGGCACTTCTTTATTACCAAATATTTACAAGATGTAGAGCCCAATTCTAAGTGAACTCAACCAGGACCAAAGGATTGACCTCAGAGCAGGTATTGGTTAAAGCTTGTTCAGTCCCTTCCTTCTTGGTCAGTGATTTTCCCCTCCATTTGATGCCCTGCTCTAATGACAGCCTCAGTTTCATGGGCCTTATTGTGCCACATCCTTGTCTGTGCTCAGTGAAAATGACAATCTCTTATTTTTATTTATGTGATTGGTTCTTATATTTATGTAAATGGATAGACTAGTATGATTATATCACCAAAGGCCTTAAAGGAACATGACATTAAAGAGTGTTGTTGGACATATATAAGAAATTATGTCTTCTCAGAAAAGAAATTCAAGCTCAGAAAAACAGTGTTTTACCATTAAATATTTTCAAGCATGTTGTTCTTCAAATGCTTAAATGAACTCGAGAAGCATATTTAGGTTATAAAAGGTCCTAGTGTAACATGCTTATTTTTGAGGCTACTAAGCATTCTTCAATGGTTAGACTGAGGCATTATTTTGGAGAAAGAATGGGGATAGCAGAGGTAGTCTATAAAACATGTAAACACATGGATTATCTATAACATCTCTTTGTATGCAATTCTAAAAGGAAATTTAGTCCAGCCACAGATTTAAAATATTACTTAGATTGTATCGAGACAGCATTGTGACACTCAGGATATTGTTAGCTTAATCACATTAAAAATATCACTATCTTGCCCATTGGTCATAACTAAACAATTAGTTTGTTAAGAATAATGTTTAGAAAGAGCAGAGCAAAGAAACTCAACATGAAATTTGAATAAATGATCTCTGCTTAGATCTCTACTGTATGTATTTCATAAGAATTTTTTCCACTCTGAAGAATGTCTTTGGGCTCTTTGCAGCTGTTGTAACACAGCCTTACCCTATTTGAGGCGATCTGTGGGAAGGGAAGGAGACAAATTGTGACACTGTCCCTTATCAAAGGACCACACAGTTGTTCGCCACTTTGACTCCATGATGGATTGTTATCTTGGGGTTTGACTGATGGAAGGCTAAAAGTTTAGAGAAAAACAGTGCAGACGCCCAGTAGCTCCATGTTATTGACACTTAGGTGATAGTGTGGGGTCAATCAATCTTTCTTGATTGTTTTTACCTTCAGTTTTGTTTTCTATTCAAGCATTATTTTCCCTACCTCATCAGAGTGACAGGTTAAAAAAAAAAGTTGAGAGGAAGAAAAAAAAAAAAAAAAAAAAAAAAAAAAAAAAAACCAAGTCACTGGGAAGCACTGATACCAAGAGATTCAGCCTCTGTGCTGTGAGTGTGTGTGCTGGAGAGAGACAGCCACCCACAGACACTCATTGTCTGGGAGACATATGTGAGTGTACATGCTTGTTTTCAAGTTTAACCCAGTAGATGGTAGCAAAAAAAGACATGAGTTTTATTATCAAAAGTCAGATAACGTGTCTTAGGAAACATATGGTTCTTAAAGTATTGGTTTTGGTTTTTGAATAGCAGACCTTTAGTATGTATTACACATAAGGGAGAATCTTCCCACACTACATTTTTTCTGTACATTTGCTTTAGTTTATTATTTAGTTTGTAGGATATTTATATTGACACAGACATTTTGGTGTCTAAATATGCTGAGGCTTTTACTCGATTGCAGGAGATTGGCGAGTTAATAAAAAGCCTGCTGCTTCTGCCATGTTTGAAACTCTTAAGGTGAAAGGAGCACGTGGACAGTCCCCATGTTTCCCGGGTGAGGTACAAGAAGCTGAACTGCTACAATGAATTCATTTTGGAATTTGCAAATATTTTTATCAGTTTTCCTAAGATGTAGCTAATATAAAATTCACTAGCTTTAAACATGCAATTTGAGTAACTGAGACCAGTGTATCCTTTTATTACTAATACTAATATCAGGACATCAAACATTACCATTACCACCACAAAATTTCCTTCTGGTTTGTTGTAGTATTTTCTGTATACCACAGCCCCTAACAGTACTCAAAAGTGTGAGTAACCTCCCACACTTATATATTATTCATGCGCAGAGGCCATGTTAATCTTCTCTGTACTGTTTCCATAGTAGCATGATGATTGTTGAAGTGAGCACATACAGTTTGCAGAAGTAAGGTATGACTGTGTATTAGTTTATAAAGTTTTAAAAACGTAATTTATTAAATGTCCTAATATTGTATTGTTTGGTTTATTTTTTGAGGTCAGGCTTTGCTTTATAATTCAGGCTGGTATGGAATTCAGCACTCAGCCCAGACTGATCTCAAACTCCTGGCAGTTTTCTGGTCTCCCCTTTCTGTGGGATCACACATACGACATTTATTTACATAATTCATAAAGGCCTTTTAAATGTTAGGAAATTACACAGTCTTTTTGTTGCTAGGTATTGTCAGTATGTCCATACTATGTGAATAATTCTAGATTTAATTGATATACTATTTTAGCTATAGGTTGATTTTGTTTTTTTAAACTATGAACAGACACATAAACATGAAGGTAAAATATATGTGCACATCCACATAGATAGACATGCTGTAAATACTATGTTGTATTCATAACTTAAAGTCTCATTATGCCAATTGATTTGTTAGTTACTATAACTTACAGTTTCAAAGAGATTTTCGATTCTAGTAATACAAATTATTAAAACATCAATATTAAAGAATAAAGCCTAGGCATTTTGCTAATGTGTTAGGTTTCTTATCATTTGAAGCTATGGTTTCCAGCATGGTTTCACAACAAAAATTCTAGACTCAAGTTCCTTCCTTAAGGAGGGGGGACAGAGTGAAAAGAGTGAATTTGGAATCATAACAGACCATTCTTGTTTTGCCTTTACCTATGTACATTCTATATACAAAAGACACATGGTCCAAAAAATTCCTAGAAATATTCATTCTCTATGGCAAGTGCAAGTAGAAAATGTCACCTATGTTATCTTTCCTAGAGTTGCTTAGAAAGGAATGGAATTTAATTTGAGCACTTTTGTTTATATGTTCCAAACATGCTTGCTTCTGAACCTTGAATCCTAAACTCAAGGTTTCCTAGAGACTTGAGAGTAAAACGAAGCTCAAGGTGCTTCAAAATGCCAGAGATAGATAGATAGATAGATAGATAGATAGATAGATGGATGGATGGGTAGACTATTTCCCCATTAAAATGCAAGAGCCTAAAGGGTTAGAGTTTTATGTAGACAATATTGGATAAATATCTGGACTTCTGAACATACTTGAAGCCACATTATGAATCACGCATAGGTTGGTCAACCCAGTTTGATCTTGCCTTTCATCCACATGCCTTCTCTAAATCTTTTTGTGTTTTAAGCAGATCTGAGCTCAGTGGCACGCACTGGAACCAGTCCAGCATTGGGGAGTGACAAAGGCTGATGCTCACAGTAACGGCTAGTATTTCATGAAGCTTGTACTTTGTGGCAGCTCTTGGCCACCCAGATCATCAGGATGGGTGTGGGCTACATCTGCATGACTGTGCCTTGCCTGAACTCAGGGCTTCTGCCTGTGCTTTATTGCTGCCACATGGCTGGCATTGTTATTTCCCAACCTAAAGCCCTTTCTTGTTTCCCTCTTTGCCTGTAAACCTTCACTCCTGCATATTTCCTTTCTTCTTACCCTAACTCTCTAACAGCTGAACTACATAAATGCCAAACAGTGACATGAATTCCTAAACAGAAGCTGCCGGGAACAGCACTGCTCCAACCAAGAAGCACACATGTAGAAGCCAATGACTGACAGGGCTCAAAAGACAGGGTTCACTAAATGACAAGTGTGAAGTTTTTATTGTTGCCCTGGTTAATAGTACTGTTTTATAAAATCTCACATATACACACACACACACACACACACACACACACACACACACACACACACACTTCACATTTCAGAACAATTCAGTGTAACTGGCAGCTAGAGAAAGAAAAGATTTACAATCCCTTAAAGGCAAGCAAGACAGGAGGAATACCGAATCAAAGCATTCTCTCAGTTTGGAATATATTCACATCTTTTGATTGGGCTTAAAATTGGAATCTGGGAGAAGCAGCAGGAAAAGTCAGAATTATAATTGTTTTGTGAGGAACAAGAGAAAACAAGAAAGTAAAAAGAAAGAGCTGCTCATCTTTTATTTGTCCTTGCATAATTCTATTCAGCATTATTTAATGCTTATGATATTACATTTTTGTATATACCCACTGTCATTACTAAAGGAATATCTATGATATGAAATGTGCAAAAGAGGTACAATGTAATGTCAATTAATTGTATGTGATCTATGTTACTATAATTGCTAAAAGTTATTTGAATATTGCTTTTCCTCAGTTACAATGATGTGTGAATTCATATTTAAGAAAAAAGGTACCATTATTCCATGTTTCTTTATAATATTCAACGCTAGCTATTTTTAAAAATCCTTCTGATAGTAGAGTGGCAGTTCACTGAGCATTAGCAGAACATTCTAGAAGCCAGAATAATGACAAAGTAATCATTAAGGCTAAAAATCACCTCAGCCAGATTAGGTACAGTGGCTGAAGAGAGACCTTGGGATAAGTGTCACTCTGGAATTGGTGGCAGTATTCATTTTGCAGCAATAATACCATTGATGTCAGTTTACAGGAACCCAAGGAGAAGAGAGAAGCATGTGGTGTTGTCCACTCTGCCACACCCTCTTCAGGAACCTGTTCTAAGTGTTTGATTGGCTGTCACTAGCCAAGTGATACTTCTGTTTCTGTGTAGTCAGCTATAAATTGTCACCTAAGGAATCTTTATTTCAGTATAAATGCAAAAACACAACAGCTTTGACATAATTTCCAGCATAATACATGGGTTTGGATGTTCTTTAACCAAAGGTCATGTTTCATTAGGATCGTCTACTGCCTTTAATGCTATTACCTTGGTATCTATATGTCTATTGATTTCCCTCTTTCTTTCATGGTCAAGGAGATGGAATCAGAGATCTGTCATTTCTCAGCAGTGGAGAAGGAACGCTTACTCTACACCTTTGTTGTATACTTTATCTTTCAGTGAGAGGCTCCATCCCTTGTCTTTGTTTCAACCACATCTCTCATGTTTTCTTCCTTTCCAGTTTCACTTTAGGTCTCTATTCTGGACTTCCACCATTCGAATTCAGTGAAGTAAGACATTATTAACTGCCTTTTCAGCTCTTGGAGGGTCTCTCTCTTAATGTTTGACATAGAATGATAGAAAATCCTATCTTTGTTCAGAAAATCATCTGAACCTATAGTAAGGCTCTGGTAACCTCCAGACAGCCCATGCTTCCTGATGAGATGTGTCTGTTTATTTATTTTGGCAGCATTTACAACCTGAGATAGTAGACTTCCAAGGTTTCTGGCGTCTCTAGACAAATGTGTTGTCTGGCAATATTGTCTCCCTGTTCCTCTTGAAAGCCATTGGGTAACAAAGCAAACACACTACAATTTCTCTCTTGCTTACCTGTATTGTTCAGGAATGCCTGAAGAAGCAGAAACTATTGGAAATAAAGATACATACTGCAACCATGTATGAAAGATGTGTGTGTGTCAGAAACAGCTGAACTGATCATCTGGGAACTCTTGCTCCCCAGTCTGATAGCTGGAATACCAGCATGGGACTGATCCAGACCCCAGGAACATGGGTTTCTGTGAGGAAACCTCAGAAATCTATGGGACCTCCTGTAGAAGCCCAGTATTTATCCCTAGCATAGGTGTGGAGTTTGGGAGCCCAGTCCATATAGAGGAATACTCCCTGAGCCAAGACACACGGGGAGGAGGGGAGGGGACTAGGCCCTATCCCAAATGATACGAAAGACTCTGTTGACACCCTATAGAAGACCTCATCATCTAGGGGGAGCAGAGAAGATATGTGACAGATAAGGTTTTAGT